CCCCCTTCCTCCCCTTCCTATCTGCCAACCCATCTCAAGTTCATGCATGGCTAAAATCCACATTTATTTTTTCTCAGCATTTTTTAAGAGTAACTTTAAATGAATGCAGACCAACCATTCTCCTGTATTCTGAGAATATTGCTAGTTACCTACTCAGGGCTTAATGCAGCAATGTGAAACTCACTAGGGAGTGGCTAGATTCCACATTTAATTTTGGTTCATAGACAGGGATACAAATCCAGGATTTTATACTCCCTTTTGTCCCCAGAGGATTACCTGTGGGCATAAGAGTAAGGCTTGCACTAAAATCAAGGGGTAAACTCTAAGTCAGTGTTGCAGACTGTCTGCAAACTCAGGCATCACATTTGGAAGGTTCTCTCTGCAGCCAGGAATGTCGTATAAATATACCACAAAGCCCTAATCATGCATAAAGATTCCTTTATGTTATGTGTAAGTTGGGAGTACACGGAGCAATGCCTGGGATTTATAACCTGTGGGCTAATGTATGCATAAAGATTCCTTTATGTTATGTGCAAGTTGGGAGCACACGGAGCAATTCTTGGGATTTATAACCTGTGGGCAAATGCAAAGCCCTCAGGGAGGAAGGCCAGAGAGAGCCATCCAGTGATGTGAGCCTTTGTGGGGAGAAGTGCTCGAGGCTGATGTTCTACACTAGGATGCAGGATCGATGGTGAGTTTAGAGATGGTAAAGGGACTCCTCTCTCTCTCTCTCTCTCCCCTTCCCTCTGGAACAGACGATGCTTTCCAGAGGAATTGTCTGAAATGCCAGAGGGCCAAGCAGTGCACATCCCATCCCTAATGGCAGCAGGGAAGCCCAGACCCAACACATGCTGCCATTGGGATGGGCAGCAGCCACGGTCGCTGCACAGAGCCTATGAGAGAGTTTTTGGCGGGAACAGCTCTGAGGAGATGGAACCCTCGGGATGTTCTCTGGCGGGAAAAACCGGCTTGGTCTGGTTCTGGCTGGCTCAGCCCAGACGCAAAGGCCTGCGCGGCCGATGCAGCAGCAATATGGGGTTTATGGTCACAGACCCTGGACTCCATTTTGGATTCCCAAAAACATGATCACGATCCTCTGGGGTGTCTGCTTAGTGTCCTTGCACAGGCCACCTCTGTTATTTGCATCACCCTCCCCCCAGAGGCGATATGTAACGCGATAGTGGATGGGGCACAATATCCAGGTTGTGGGTGGAGCATGTGGCCACCTCATGCGTTGCCTCTGAATCTTGACTAAAACATTTCCAACTGTGGGGTGAGCCCCCTGGGGGACACAGGAACATGGGGGGGGTGAGCAGTGATGCCACAGCGATGAGGGAGGGAGAGTCACCTCCACCCCCGATTCAGACAAAAATTGTAACTTAAATGTGGGCACAATATCCAGGTTGTGGGTGGAGCATGTGGCCACCTCATGCGTTGCCTCTGAATCTTGACTAAAACATTTCCAACTGTGGGGTGAGCCCCCTGGGGGACACAGGAACATGGGGGGGGTGAGCAGTGATGCCACAGCGATGAGGGAGGGAGAGTCACCTCCACCCCCGATTCAGACAAAAATTGTAACTTAAATGTCCCGGCCCGCAGGCCGGGGGGGGGGGGGGGGTGGCCCGCTGAGGTGCCGGGGGAGAGGGGTTGGTGCTCCTTCTCTGAGCTCTGCTGTGTGGAAGCAGCTGCGTACCCCCACACATTCCCTCGTACCTTCCGAAGTGGGCGCACCCCACAGCTTGAAAACCCCTGAAGCAGCGGTTTGCTGGAGTCGTAGTCCCCTCGTCAGTGTTCACATGTTACCCGTGAGAGGAATGATTGCTGTTATGTGCACCAATATGGAGGCGACAGGCAACACGTTACCTTCCTATTGATGCACATAGCAAAATTCACGTGGTGGGGATGGGGCCACGGGGGTTCTGAGTGTGGGAGGGTGCTAAGGCCTGGGGCAGAGGGTTGGGGTGTAGGAGTGTGGGGGCTCTAGCTGGAGGTGTGGACTATAGGGTGGGGCTGGGCTGAGGGTTTGGGGCTGGATCACATGATTGAGGTGCAGGGGTGAAAGAGCTTTAGCTGGGAGTGTGGGCTCTGGAGGGGGCAGGAATGAGGGATTCAGGGCTGGGACAGAGGATTCAAGTGCAAGGGCTTTGGCTGGGGTGTAGTCTCTGGGGTGGGTCTGGACTGAAGGGTTTGCGGTGAAGGAGGGTGCTCCGAGCCTTCTGTGAGCAGAGAGGATTCCCCCAGATTTCTCTCCTTGCAGCAGCACCAGGGCTGGGAGGGAAAGGCCCCTCTCCCATCCATGGAAGTTTTGGGGTGTGGCTACAATGTAAGGAGAGGGCTGCCCAGACTGTGGCAGGGAGGCTTTGGGCCTGGGCCTCTCTGGCCATGGCAGGAGGAGTGTAGGGCTGAACTGGGGCAGTGGGGGCAGAGTGTAGGACTGGGCCGCTCCGGACGTGGCAGAGGGCGCTGAAGCCTGGCTGCTCGGGCCAGGAGAGAGGGTCCAGGTTCAGGCCATCCCTACCCTGACCAAGGCAGGCTGGAAGCCAGGCTAGGCTGGGTGGGTGCACTTAACGCCTGCACAGCACTAACTAGGCAGCTAGTTAGTCAGGGAACTCAGGCCCCATCACTACCTTTGCTGAGACCTACACTTTTGTTCCCTTTGCCCCATTCCTCTGACTGCAATTTCTGTCCTCAACCCCTTTAAAAATCAAGTTCGTGGTAATTTGCATATTTGCTAATATACAAATTAATTTATCGGATACCGTATATTCCGGCGTACAAGACGACCTCTGAAGTTAAAAAACATCCCCCAAAAATCGGGGGTCGTCTTGTACGCCGGATGCCCCGCCGCCGGAGCGGAGCCCCTCCGCGGCTTTGAAAGGCTCGGGGGGAGCCGGGGGGCGGGCGCCCCCGCG